AGTGGTGCTGAACAACCCAAGCATGCGCCTGTGGGTCTAGCGTATGCAAAGGATCGGGATGAGGCTCAGGAAGCTTCCCCTTCAGATTCCTACCTGCAATCGGCACAGGCATACGGCAGCCAAGGTTGGCTGATGATCAAGTTGTTGCCTGAGCCGTCGCCAGAAGATTTTGATTCTCATCCCGTTCATGTTGCAGCTTATCTGGCAAAGTGGAATTTCAATTGCAGAACCTTTCCCGTTGCAGAACAGATTGAGAAGGAGAGCGGTAATCCATTTAACACAGATTTTGTTATTTGCTACTGTAAACGGTAAATAATCACAATAATATATTATCCAATATTATACAATAATATAATATTACATAATATAGTAAATAACAAAACATCAAACACATTGTTCAGGTTCAGAACCAAAGACAAACACCGCTATGAACAACCGATCGTGGGCTTGACTAGACTCAACTCGACAAATCTCGACAAGTTCTCAAATTTTCAGTCTCAGTTTTGAGTTTTGAGCTGTCATTTTTGTTATTTTGTTGTTTGTCAATCCTGCTTGAAACCAGGAGTCTGATGCACAATTTCTCCAGGAGGTGGAAACCGCGCTAGCGCAAGATGTTGATGGCCCCCCCCTTGGAAAGGAGGGCGATTGTCAGTGTCCCAGAGATGCCTCCTGCGCACTTGGTGCGGACTTGGCTGCTCCCACTCCAGCTGAGATGAAGCCGGCTCCTGATCTTAAAGTGCATCCGATGTTCTCACCCAGGGTCAGGGCGGAAAAGCGTGCTGCTGTGACTCCAAAGCAGCAGCCGCCAGCTGAAGGGTCCAAGTCCACAGTGACGCCCAAAGCCAAACCCAAGGGGAAGGCAGCTGCGAAGAAACAGGCGCAGCCAAAAACCGCCAGCACTAAAGGTGCAGGTGACCATTCTTCCAGTAGCAGCAAGGTGCGCGGGAGCAAGAAATCGAAGTGATCTGCTTGTGTTTTTCACACCGCTGACCGAAGCCCAAGTGAACACTTCTAGTGTTGAATATCACAATGACTTCTTCTTCTTCTTCTTCTTCTTCTTCTTTAGCTGCGATACCCAACCGGGCAGATCAGACAGGGAGCGCGCAGGAGTTGGGATTATCACCCATCGTCGGATGAAGCCTTTCCTATATGAGGTTCAACAAATAAACGGAAGAATCATGGCTATTCGGTTAAAATCTCTGGGTTCTAATATTGCCTTCATTTGTGGATATGCGCCACATAGTGGGCATACAAGTGGTACCAAAGATGAGTTCTACGATCTCCTGCAAAACATGTGCAATGAGATCTCTAAACTGGTTTTTACTGGAGGAGATTTGAATGCTAGATTGCAGCATATATACAATAATGAACACGAGATCAGTGGGCCGCATATGTTTGGCAGAGGCAGGGCATATCTTGAAGGCGTTGCTCAATCTACTAAAGAAAATCGAGACTTGTTTGTTGACTTTTGTGCCTCCAATTCCCTACGAATTCTGAATACTGATTTCCAAAAGCCTCCGGCCAAACAAGCGACTTTCAGAGAAAACACGACCGACATTGGAAGTTGTTTCGCCCCAAACATCCATGCCCAGATTGATTTTTGGTCAACGAGACAGCAGCATAGAAACAGCTGCACGAATGTACAAAGCCGCACAATGATTTATATCTGAACACGGATCACTATCTAGTTGAAATGAATCTCAGGCTGAAATTAGGGAGCTGCCCGGTGCCTAGCCATCCCCCAAAATTTGTTAAGCCCGCACAAACCATGGCTAGAGATTACACAGACCGTGTCCAGATTGCTAGCGAGCTCACGTGATGCAGATGCAGAGATTTGGAAAGCATTCAACCAGTCCTTGGTCACGGCCGCAGCTGAATGCCTGTCTAGAGAACACACTGGAAAAAAGAATGGTTACCTATTTTTTAGGACATGGCGACTCATTAACTATAGGCAGACTTGCTACCTGGACGGTAATCTTATCGAAGTGAAGGCTCTAGACAGGCACATCAAAAAGACCGCGCGGGTAGACCGCAAAAGCCACATAGTGAACCAGTTTCAAGACCAACCTGGGGATCCACATAGGAAGAGATTGTGGAAAACAGTTGGCAGCCTTAAAAAGGATTACAAACCTTCTCACATCATCGCCACCCCCTTACCTTAGGTTTTTGAAGGGGGACGTAAAAACATGTAACTTACATTTTTTGGGGGGTTGGAAATGTATGTGGGACACCCCCTCTACTTTTTCACCGGTGGCTTTCCTAGGGATTGACCAGTGGAAGTTTAAGTTCTTGGGAAGGGGGGGGATGTGGGCTGGCAGGGCTTCCCCAGCGAATCACCGGTGAGTGCTCAGAGTGTAGGAGAGGGGGGAGGGGGTGGTAAAAATGTAACTTACTATGTGGGCACGTGGCAACTTACAATTTACAGGGTACCTCTGAAAAGGTAACATATCACCTAGGCACATGGTAGCTTACATTTTACAGGGTACCCCTCAAAATGTAACGTTCCATCCGCGCGAAAACAGAGATGACTTGCCAGACTTGTATCTGTTTCAGCCTTGTGCAATTTTGTGCAGGCATATATATATATATATTGCTGTATTCTTGCATTGGAGGCTCAAAAATGTAAGCTTACATTTTCTACGTCTATGGGAGAAAATGTAAGCCTACATTTTCTACGTCTATTTTCAATAATGTAAGCCTACATTTTTGACGTATCAAACCAGGACCTCCCCCCAGGAAAAATGTAACTTACATTTTTTTAGGTCCCCTCCCCCTTAACAGGTAGTGATCTTACATCAAATTAAAAGATTCCCGGGGACGATTAGTCCCACTGCAAGAACGCGCGGAAACTTTGGCGATTTACCTTCAAGATGAGCACTGGTTCAATACGACTGGAAGAGACCCGCTCCCGGTACAAAGTCAGATTGGCGAGACTGCGGTTTGTGGTAGTTCTTTGTTTACCCTCACTGAGTTGAATGACTTGTTCAAGAAGATGAAGACGGCCCGACTCCAGTAACAGGGGCAAATTGCTATCCAGTCTAAATGCGTGGCGGGTCCATGCCCATGTCCCACATGAAGTTTGTGAAGCACGTGTGGTTCCAATCTACAAAAAGGGTGGTATTGAAACTCCCTCAAACTACCGACCAATCTCCTTATTGCATTCTATATACAAAGTTTTTGGTTCTTTAGTCAGAAACAGGATGCAGCAGGCAGTGGACCCCAAGCTTGCTAGCGCGCAATATGGTTTTAGACCTAATAGGTCTACTGCTCAGGCCACCTACATAGTGCGGAGACTCCAGGACTGGTCAGAACAAAAGGGTACGGATCTTTTCATTCCACTTTTGGATTGGGAAAAAGCATTTGACAAAATACAACATGGAAAGCTGGTTGATTCAATGAGAAGACTGGGTCTCTCCGAGCATTTCATCTCTGCAGTCACTTGTCTTTACGATTCACCGAGGTTCTTTGTGCAAGACCAATATGGCAAGTCGGAAATCAAAACCCAGGGCACGGGAATCAGACAAGGTTGCCCACTTAGTCCATATCTATTTTTGCTGGTGATGACGCGTGTTGATTACGATGTTAGGTCCCGCAGCTCTGGTCACGTTGTAAACTCAAGAACCCTGGGTGTTGACTTCGATGCCGTTTACTATGCAGACGATACAATTCTTTTTTCAACTTCCCCAAAAGGATTGAATGAAATTCTGAAACATATGGAGGACTGTTCTGCATATTATGGATTGAAACTTAACCGTGCCAAATGCCATTCCTTGAACATGCACCGTGAGGCGCGCATACATTTTTTCGATGGTACAGTTCTAGTGTAAAGCGCAAGATGCTACATACTTGGGGAACAACCTAAACCATACACAACGGAAATTACACAACGGATCCAAGGGAAATTACACAACGGATCCAAGATGCAATGTCAACTTGGCGTTTAGCGGTCTTTTGGAAAGCTTCCAATGTAAGCAAGAAATGGCAACTCGTCATATATGATGCTGTCATTAAGACCAAGCTGCTGTATAATATGGAGACTGTGTTCCTCGCGCAAGCTTTACGCAAGAAAATGGAGGCTTTCCAACTACGTGGGTTGAGGCAAATTCTAAAAAAACACAACTTACATTGACCGACGGTGGACGAACGACAGGGTTTTCGAACTTGCATGCTTCAAGAACAGCATATCTGCATGATCTTAATAGAAGAATTAGACCCGTTACGATTGATTTGGATCAGAAGCGAGTTCGTTTGGCTGGACATATATTGCGGGCCCCTAATCACGATCCCCTTAGACCAGTATCCTATCAACAAAACAGCGCCGAGCGGTGTTTAAGTCTAACGAAGACATTCATGCACTGCATAGTCATACTCAATGTGATGGAGATCATTTTCAGAATGACGCAATTTTGAGGGCGGCGCAAAAACCAGCAATATAATCCAAAAGCCAAGCGCCCAAGCATCCTTCTCGATGCTGAGACTCAGTATTGGATGCAAGGCAAAAAAGAGCGTGCTATCGCAACATTGTATCCCCTCTGATAACCTATGCCATCCATGCTGTTGCCAGTGCAGTTGCACGATCTACCTGTTGTCCTATGTGGTCTTTCGCCGGTGCGTCGCTGCTATTATTGTGGTCTTGTTGCTGTGTGACGTTCGACCCTTCGAGCGTCAGGTGACCCAATGATTACGATCGCAACACGGCCATCCCCATTTTGACAAGCCTCTTGCCGCTGTCTCGGGGCTGAAAGAAACAGGCATCTGTTACACATCCTTCTCGACCTGGTCTGTGTGCCGGTACCTCACTTCTGCTCCAAACCCATGCTCATGCAAGCCTCCTTTCAACGCATGTGGCAGCACACACTCCCCAATCCAGCAATCTGTTTTTGTCCAAGTTGGACGCTTCCATCAGGTAGTTCCGAGGTGCTGGTGGGGAATTTGTTGGTGGAAGCGCTCCTTTGCCACTTTCGCTCCATTAATGAGCACATGCTTGAGTCCTGTGAAAGGCATCTGGGTCATGGTACAGTACGATTGCGGCGCTTATTATTATGGCAGTGGTCGGTGGCATCGGTTACATAGTGGCTACAGGCAGCCAGTGTGGTGCGATGACTTTTCAAACTATCAGCTGGTGGTTGGTTCTTGTGCCACGTCCTGGCAGGAACAGGTGCCAAAGGAGGCTCTGGCAGTGGCCGTAGCAAGGGGAAGAAGAAGACTCTTTGGCGACAAAGTAGAGGTGAGGGGAGGTAAGGAGGAGGGGGTGTCATTTTCAAACGCAACAGGGTCAGGCCTGAAACATCACAGACGTTGGGTTCTAACGCAGCAGGGTCAGGCTTGAAACATCACCAGACGTTGGGGACTATACAACGCTGTATTATTACCGGGGACAAGTCCACGCACCGCGCAAGGTGCAGGGCCATTGGGAGAGTTCGCCAGAGCGACTTGAAGTAGAACGGAATACTGCATGTTTTCCAAGATTCAGATCTAATATCTTTGATGTATGGCATATGAGATGGGGTCAATGATGGTGTTCCTTTATGCTCATTTATATATTGTGTTTAAACTCAGAAATTCAGAGTATAATTCACGCTGACAGTTGAGAGAAATCAGCACTTTGTCGCAGCATTTGTTCCTTCCATATAATCTAACACCACTGGTCGTCTTCAAGGCCTTCAGGACTTGTTCAATGATTAGGGTGTACGCTCAGCAAACAAGTACGTATTGAACGGTTGTGTTGAACGCACCTTCTCCATCTAATCCTGTGAAAGAGTGCACTTGTCTTGGAATCTGTTGTGCATTTGAGAGTGGCATGAACCCGCCGCCACTTTTCTCTCATAGGCCTGAAGCCATTTTCGACTACGCGATTTGCCATCGCCGGAAAACCATTTTTCTTTGCAGTCCGATCGCTTCGTTCATGCTACAGTGGTAGCGGAGCTTTGGGTGCTGAGCTGCTTTTGGCTTTGTTGGGCACGCGCCCTGGCTTGCTGCGGTTGGCTTTCGAGGACTCCGCTTGCAGTGTGGCCACGCTCTTCATTGAGATTGTGTCGGGTGACCTACCTCCGTGTTCTGACATCGATCTCGGTGGAGGAAGTTGTGACCCTCCCTGGACCACGCTTTTGTTGTACTCCTGCAGGCGCAGGAGGAACATCTACGGCTGGCGGTCCGAATTCAACTTTTTTCTGCTCATTTTCTGAAGAAAGGCTCACTACATCCTAGACATCCCCTTCGTCCCTGTCTTTGCCTAAGGCATCGTGTCGGACGAGAAGGATGGCAATGGCGCATGGGCACGCGTCCCAACATGGGACGGATCGCCTCAGACATGGCAAGAGAGAGATGGACTGTTTGGACTTGGCATCAACGACCAAGTACAACCTTGCAGCTGCTCGATGGTTGCTACGGCAATCAGGGGTGCTCAAGCACCAACCAGTGGTCACATCTAGCTCATGAAAGCTCTCGAGGAGATCAACGGCAAGACCACCTTGACAAGCGTGCAGAGCTGAGAAATAGATTCTACTTGGAGCCGCCGGCCTGGAGAACGCACTGCTGAGTTCAGCGCCCGCTTCAGGACATCAGTGTCCGACCTTTGCACTGAAGGAGTACAACTCCCTACAGGAGAGTTGGGGTGGTTCTACAAGTCCAAATTGGGGCTGGACCCTTTGCGCTCTCAACTCTTAGAGACAGAGCTGAATGGAGTTGAAGATTACGAGAGCATCGAGCGCGAGGTCCTTCGTTTGTTCAAAGAGCTCCACGCCCAGGAGCCCTTGAGCAGGAAGCCCTTCAGAGGAGGAGACACTGGACCCATCAACAAGGACAAGGCAGTCCAAGCCGAGCTTCATCGTATGCACCTTCGATGACAAGCTCTGCGCCCCGATCTGTGAGATCCTCTTCATCGACGACAACCTCACGAGCTAGCGCCTGCAGGTTTCAAAAGCCTTTTGGGGGACTTCCCAGGCAGGCTATGGTCTCCGAAGCTGAGGTTGAGGTGGACCCGGAGGAGGACGATGAGCTTGTGGCTGATGGTGATCCGCCCCCCAGCATCCTTGGATGAGGTGCTTCAGATGGAAGCTGAAGGATCGGCGCAAGACCTAACTTGAAGAGGCAGCCAAATTGTGGGCTTGACACCGGCGCATTGCAGCAGATTGAGGAGTCTCGGAGTCAGTTGAAACTGCTGCAGAAGCACTTCTCACGATGTGTGAGGCCAAGGTCAAGCTCCAAGAAGTGAAGAAGGATCGCGGCTATGGCCGTGCCTCGCCGGTCAAGCAAGTGAAGGTCAGGGAGGCCTTGATCGATGGAAGATGGAGGCCATGAAGTTTTGACAGTTGGAGCTTTCCGCATGTCCAATGAGTTCTTGGCAGCTTTTGCTCCATCCGCAAGAGGTGAATGTCGCTGGCAAGCTCTCCGCGGACAAAATGCTTGTTGGAGCACTGGATTCGGCACGCGACCGAACTTGCACTGGGACCGAATGGCTCAACAACCACCTTCGTCGCTTGAGAGATGCCCCCGAAGCTGTTCGTGGCTTGGTCAAATCCCACAAGGAGTATGAGACCTTCAAGTTTGGAAATGGTGGTACCCAGGTCATGTACGTTCGCGGCTCCCCATGCAGTTAGATGGCTCCATCGCTGGTTTTTGGGCTTCATTGGTGCCGGTTCCTTCACTGGGGTTGCTTTTAGGTCGTGATTTTCTAGAGGCAATTGGAGCTGACATGCTGACATGCATTTTGCCAATCGCACCCTTCGATGTGAACACCTCACTGGCAAGCCAATTTCTTTGAAGCAGCTGGCTGCATGTTTTTTGTGCCATTGGCGGCGCCAGCAGCATGGCCAGGTGTGGGACCACAGCGATGGAAGTGTTTGGGGGGTGATGGTGTTTTGGAACTTCAGTTGGGTCCTGTTCAGTGGCTTCAAAAGAAACTTTCATTTGGTTCGCCTTTGAAGTGCAAGTCGCATGACCACCTTCTGACAGAGCAGAGCGTTCGTCTGTGGTCCACATGGTTTGTGCAGTTCTCAGTTCGCCTGATGTTTTTGGCTCACCGGTTCAAGCTCGAGGTGTGTCCACGCAGCCTGACAGGACGACCGTTTGCAATTCGAGTCCCACTTCATCGACCACTTCCACCTTCCAATGTTCGGCTCATGGATGAATGCAGGCAACCTCTTGGGAGGCGAGAACGCCAACGTGGACGTGAAGGTCGGAAGATGGAAGCGGATGTATCTCCGCATGGGAGAAAGGTGTCGCTGGGCAGCAAAGGCCTTACTTGCGATATCTGCCATTTCCCTATCCCTCGGCCACAGCGACGGCAACTTGGCTGGCTCCCTGGAGAAGAACTTGTTCACCATGGGCGACTTGGTCGAGTGTCGACACTTGATCGAGGATCCGGACCTGGCAGGAATGATGGCAGCCTAAACTCAAAAGGGCATCACTGCCAAGTTGAGGAGTGCAGCCCAGAAGGAAGCCATTGCGAAGAACGCCGAAGCCGACGGAAGTCGGGAACAGGAGGCTCGTGCTCTCGTTGGACCTTGAGGAGGCCTTCCTACTCTTCGCGCAGATTTGGTGAAGCTGGCAGCGCTGCTTCATGTGGAGCTGCTCTTCCTCTCCAACCACCAGGCTGTTCAACGACAATCCAAAGAACCTGGCAGTGCAGCAACGCGAGATGAGGGCCATGATGGAACAGATGTCCCGAGAACTGGCACTTCTGCGCTCGCAGGTGACTCCAGACATGGAGGTGGATCTCAGTTCAGAGCCAAGTCTGACCCCGGATTCGCCACAGGATGCATCCCGTGAACTTCACCGAGGCAGAGATCCGAGCGCTGAACGGTCAAGCCTACGAGGAGCTGTACGGAGTCAGTTTGACAGCTCAGTTCGGGGAGGACATTCCGCCACAGGTGATGCAGGAGATCCGTTTGGGTCTTCGGGATGGCTCAGCGATGTGAGCAGCCCTCATGAGTTCCGACTTCACCAAGATCTGAAGCCAGGACAAGCTCAAATGGTCGCTCAAGCTTGGAGTCAACATGAACAAGATCGCAAGAAAGTCTCCAAGTCTCCGAGGCAGGTGAAAGAGCTGTTGATTGCTGACCATGAGCAGCCGTTTGAACTGCGTCTTCCGGATGACAAGATCTCTGCCGGTTTTTGGTTGAGCGAAGAGGCCACAAGGTGGATGGAATTTCCCTTTGGCTGAGCACCGAAGCCGTGCGTGCCCTACAGGTTCTGGAGGAGGAAAATGCCTTTTTGCGCGGTGCTTGCATTTCCTTGCGGGCCATGGAGCCCATTGCAGTACCTCAACACTCGAGGACTGGCTTCATTGGATCAACGGCAAGCTGATGGAATGGTGTTGATGGAGTTTGCGATTGAAGTCGCGCTGTTGCAAATGAGAGGAGGGCGACACTTCGTCATGGAGAACCCCCTTCCCAGGCTGGCGTGGAAGACACTTCCCACGCAAAAGTTCACTGACCAGGCGAGTTTCGCAAGAAGCCTACCCAGCTAGTGAGTTGATGTGGAGGACGAAGCTGGTGATGGTCTGTTGGCCTTGGGAGAAGGGGAGATTTCTGACGAAGAGCTTGGCGAAGCTCCTCCTCCTATAATCTTAAAATCAGCCCTTCGTTGAACGCCATCAAGCGCCTCCATGAGAACACTGGTCATCGAAGCAATCGTCGTTTGGCGCGAGCTCTTGCAGTGCTCTTCTCTTTGTCAAGAGCGAGCCCCACCAAAGACGAGGAGGCCAGCATCCTTGCCTACACCCAAGGACACCTCAGATCAGGTTCATGTGGACCTGCTTAAGATAGAAGATGCTGCTGAGAAACATTTCTATGTCGCCCATGCCACGGCCTCGTTTTCAGGTTGCTGAGGTTCTGCCTGACAAATCCTCCAAATCCGTGATCCAGCTTTTGACTCCACGATGGTTGGCTATGTTTGGCGCCCCTCGAGTGCTCGTTGCCGACCAAGGAAGAGAGTTTGTCAGCTGGGAAATGGAGGAGTGGGCAAGTTCTGTGTCCACAATGCGCATCACATTGCAGTTCAAGCTCCTTGGCAGAATGGGGTGGCTGAGCGTTCGGGAAGCGCACTGAAGGCGATGTGAGGCTGTGGCTGCCTAATGACAGTTGCTTTTCCCTGTACCAGGCAGCGTTTGGCCGTCAACCAAGACTGATTGGTGACACCCTGGGCAGCATTGAGTCCCGTTTAGCTGAGCGTTCACCCATTGATGGAAGAACCTCGCACGCAAGGTTGGATTGCTTTGCGCTACAGCAATTAGGTCTTCGTCGAGCAGAGTTGGCAAGAAGTCGGAGCACCATGGAGCAAGTGCCTACACCTGGCACGATCTGTTACTTCCACCGCCCCTCGAGGTTCAACAATTATTATAGGACCGGACAACCCCACATGTTGACAACTTCACCAGACACAGGAGCGGACAATTGGTGGTTGGTGGGTGACAATGGGCTGGTGGCAATTGGTTGGTGGCAGTGTGTTGGTGGCAATTGGCAGCAAGTACCGCGCCTGCCATGCAAATCACACCGGCAGGGCTGCGGCGACCCAGCGACCTCAGGGGGTACATCCGACCCCTTGGAAAGCAGCAGGCATATACAGAGAGGGCCGTTATAAGTTACGCGTGAAGTTGTGGATGTTACACGGGCAGTTCAACAGATGTTACTTTGAAGTTGCGGTGGACGCGTCTAAGTTCCGCGTATCTCATGCTGTCTAAGTTTGCTTTCGATCGAATTCCATGTTTCAGACGTCAGGCAGCAGCGCAGAAACTCACATCTTTTTCACTAATGCAAGCAAAGCACGTCTGATCCTAGGAAACACCATCAAGCAACAACTACAATTTCCATGTCTGGCCGTGACTTCCACCACTTTCTTTCCCCTGATGGTTTCCATTGACTGCCCCATGAATGGTCTGCTTTTTTCCATCGTCTCAAAGAGAAAGTGGAGGCCACATGCAGGACCTGACCGCCATCAGGAATTGGCCACCAACTTTGTCAGTGAAGAAGACCATATCGCCGAGTGAGACGTGTCTCTTCCACATATAAGCATTGTCTGTGCGGCGCAGACCGCAGTCTTTGAAGGAGAACTTGACTTCCTCCGTGGCCTCGTTGACAGGATTGCCGAGTCCCCACTTACCCATATAGTTGTTCGATCTCTTCGTCGAAGTGTTTGGCAAACTCGGTTGTGGTGGTGACTTGGAATAATAGCTGGCCCATGGGACCCTCCTGCGATGGACAAACACGAACAGATGCTGCACTGTAGCCTTGGTCAGTCCAGTACTTCATGGGCTTGAAGGGGGCCTCGATGAGTACGCGCTCCTGACGTGCTCTTACTAAAGAACGCGCGCTTGTCGTCGTCGCTCATCTGGGGCAGGCTGCCCAAGTTGCGACGAACCAGCCTGTCCGTGGACTTGCAGTCCGCGCAGAAAACGCGGCCCATGTTCGCGACCAGCAACATCTGCGCGCTGGCACAAGCCACAAGTCGTGTGCCTGGGATCGAATTTACTTAATTGCAGAATGCGTGCGGACAACTCGCGGACGTCGACCAATACTTAACTAGCTTGACGGCCAAATCTCGCGGACACCGGGCGGACATCTGGCGGACATCGGTGGAATCCACAAAAACAACTCTTCACTCACAAGCCAAGCAGTTTCCTGACCAACTCTTCACCCACAGGCCAACATCAAGAAACCCGCAGTTTCCTGACCTCTTCGCCCACAAGCCAACATAAGGAAACCCGCAGTTTGCTGACCAGCTCTTCGCCCACAGGCTAACGTCAGGAAACCCGCAGTTGCCTGACCAAATCTTGCCGACCAGGCCAAAACCTGCAGTTTCCTGACCAACTCTTCACCCAAAAGCCAACATCAGGAAACCCGCAGTTTCCTCAACAGCTCTTCACCCACAGGCCAACATCCGGAAAGCCGCAGTTTCCCACCGAACCCTCTTAAACGCAGTCAAAAATCAGGAAACCCGCAGTTTCCCACCCAATGCTCTTGACCCACAGGCCAACCTCTGGAAACCCGCAGTTTCCTGAACAGCTCTTCAAAGCCAAAATCAGGAAACCCGCAGTTTCTCGTCAAATGCTCTTGACCCACAGTCCGACCTCGCCCGCAGTTTCCCACCCTGCTCTTGACCCAGGCCAACCTCAGGAAACCACGGCTTCCCCTGACCCAGAGGTTGGGATCAAGAAACCAGAGGCTAACAGGAGTCCGGTACCCGCAGGTACCAGCGCGTACCCGTAGGTTCCGCGGTCTCCAATTCATGCCACACTTGTTGCGGGAGAAACGAAGGAAATGCTTCGTATTTGTGCTGGGCCCGACGGGTCTTCCCGCCCGCAGATGTGGCATCAGCAATATTTGCAGACATGCTATACGTGGGCTATATAGCTTGCTTGGAGACTCCCTGTGGCGAACGTTCTGAGGCAAAATCTCACTGCAGCATGTGTCATTTGCAATAAAAATGTTATAATGTAAACAAAAATTGTTTTTACAGGTTTCCTAACTTTGTTATAACTTCCGCGCAACTTTGGTGAAGCAGCTGCGCAGAAGTTATGTATCAGATAACATAACTTATACGACAGCGCGGAAGTTGCGGAAGATATATCTTAAGATATATCTTCCGTAACTTAAGAAATATCTTATGTTATACTTAACTTATAACTTCCGTAACTTATAACTTATAACGGCCCTCTCCGTGCCGCGCCTGCCACGCAAATCACATCGGCAGAGCTGCGGCGACGCAGCGACCTCGGGGCGTACCAATCCCTCACCCTCCACATTGATCTTGTAAAGGCAAAGCTGCTTGGGAGGCCCCACAGTGTGGATTCTGGCCAACAATCCTGTTTCTTTGGATCTTTAGCATTCTGGAATTTTTTGGCGTCATTAAACAATCTGAATTGAGACACCACTCCACACCCGGCTGGCACCAAACTCATGAAAAGCGCGTGATTTTCATTTCTAAAGAATAAAAAGGGTATACCAGCGTAGACCCCAAACAGTTTGTGAATGTATGAACAGCCACAGAGACGAACTGTCAAACGGTCAACGGCTCGAACCGTTCCAGCTCGCGGCGATCAACTCGGACCTTCTGGGCTTGGTTCAGCTCTTGGCTCAATTGGCTCAAGCTCAGGACCGGTAATGCAGACAAAAAACAGAACATATGCTAACTGTAACTACTGAATATGCCAAGTTATACTGACATGTGGCTTTATCATGCTTTGTTTGGTTAAAAGATGTCTCTTAGATACTCTTGGATCCAGATAGTTGCTTCTGTTTGGCTGACCTATGGAGGGCGTTTAAAGGAATGCTTGTGAAATGCTCGAAGAAGAGATCAGTGACCGCAGTTGCAAGATATCACCAGGTGACAAAGAACCAGGTGAAGGCTTTATTTTTCATTTTTCTACAGACAGCAGAGCTATGGGGGTTCTTACTTCAAGTGTAGGAAGAGGTGCGTGTGTGCCACATGTTCATGGCAGTGTGCGCTCTGGAGCTTGGGCGCTGCTATCAATGGCAGTTTGCGCTTGTGGAGGCGGGTTGCTGGCTTCCGCAGCAGGGTGCTGTTGCCAGATGCATGGGGTTGAGGCACTCAAGGTCCAACCGTCAAGGAGGGGATCCATTTCGTTCAGTTGCGAGGTGTTTCGCTGAGGAACAGCGTGGCAAGATACACCACAATAGGTACAGCTGGGTGCTGGTGCCGCTGCAGGGCGCTGCTGTTACAGTAGATGTTTCTGGCGTGCTCATGGCAGTGGAGCCTGGGCGTTGGTGCCGCTGCAGGATGCTGCTGCAGATTCCCTAATAATTGACATACTTTAAAAGTTCTATTACCACAACTACACGTGCGGCATGCCAGTCAGGCCCCGGAAGTTCCCAAGGCTCAGGCCCCGAAAAACTTAGTGCTGCCCATAATAAAGCAACGATTATTGCTACCACTGCTGCTGCTACAAGGCGGCCGGAGATAAGATAACTGTAAAACATTCCCGCCTGCATTAATCCAGAGTAGGCCGAGACAAGCGAGGAAACAAGTGGAGACAAGTGCAACAAGAAGAAGGACAAGCAGGGAGACAAGTGTAAAATCATCCGGCCAAATACAATCCGGCCAAGAGTACCTAAGCAGGAAAAAGAGACAAATGGAGACACGTGCAAGAACATTGAGCGGGGAGACTAGCAAAGACAAGTGGAGATACGTGTAGAATCACTCGGCCAAGAGTGACTCGGCAGGGAGAGAAACAAAGAGACACGTGGAGACAAGCGTAAAGACATATATATATATAAGACATCTTTATCCGATATCGAACGCCGCCCAAGACAGATGAAGCGCTTGAGCCCCAGTCTTGACATTTGGTTGTTTGGCTGAGGCTGGCTGTGCTCTGTGAACTGGTGGTTCCGCAAGCAACCGCCCAAGTTGGAACCCACTGAACCCTGTCACTTTGTATTAGGAGGCCACAGCACAAAGTACGTTTCAGGAGTTTTTGATCCAAACTGCACGATGGTGCGCTTCCCCCTTTTTCTCGATATGGGTGCACATGTTCTAGTTCTAGTCTAGGATGTTCTAGGTACTAACATAGTTGGTAACGCACACAATATTCTGGTGTGGGGGCAGGTGCATTTTTCTGTACATTGAGAGGGGTGTGTGGGTAAGTCGATGACATAACAGCCATCATCAAAGTAATGTTCCCCAGTACGGTAACCCGTATATTAAATTCGATATGTCGTGTGACATGTGTATTTTTGCATGTTTTCCGGTGGAGTCGTTTCTAAGGTGTGCTGTGTCTTGGTTTCCTTTGTGTTTTGAATTCGTCGTATTCGTTTTCAACACTCTCTCTCTCTCTCTCTCTTTTGGGTGCTTGGGGCGCACTTTTTGAGGAGAGTTGGCTCGGCTTAAAGTGGAACTCATTTTTCCTCGCTTGATATTGGCATACCTTGATATTGGCACTGGCAGTGCCATGGCCATCCAGCCAGCCACGGTGCAATTGGTAATGTGAAGGCACCCCCGCCAGTGCGCCCCAAACTCAGGAGCAAGTGAATTATGGACAGCTTAGCATGCCAGCAGGTGTACAAAATGATGGTTTTGCTGGTGCTACTTGGTCGGACAAAAAAACTAATGGAAGGAACAATTCTTGATTGGAATCTCTGGTTGCGGTTTCAACAACCTTGGACTGAGGCTTCCGGAGCCCATGCTCTAGCCAAATGGGTGCTGAAAAGTGATTCTTTTCACCCGAGAGTGTATGTTGGGCCACTTCTTGTTTGACACCTCACTTTGCAACAAATTTGCATTTGTGTTTGCTGCAACTGCGGGGTCGAAGTCAAACCAGAAGAATGCAGTTGCAAAAATGTGTTGAGTTCAAAGTTCAAACCATTTGGATATTTTTTGCATGGTCAAATGGCATCAAACACGGCATATGACTCACACGTTGCACACGCTTTGATATCCTTGTCGTGCTGAGCCAATGGTCTCCGCCCTAGTTCGGATAAACCTTGGCCATGATCCTGTCATGGGAAGATGTTGCACGCTGTGGCCCATGAGGCACTAGCAGTTGCCAAGGCGCATGAAGAGGCATGGTGTAGGATTTTTATTGCCGAATTACTGCAGATGAACCGTATTTTCCCAAGTGAAAAACATTCCGAAGCTTGTTCCGGTGCATCTATATATGCAAATTCACCCGGGATCTATAAGTGCACATGAGACAATGACAACACAGGGCAAAAGATATGCAACAGAGACAAAGAAGAGAAGTGTCAGTGCAAGGCCAACAATGCCGCAGCAGCTTCCGCACTACTGATTGGAGGATACCAGCAGAGGCAGCTCCGAGGACCGCTGTCGCCTTCAGCATGGCCAGACAGCTATCGTCCAATAAGGAGCTGGGCGCAAAAAAGTTTTGCAAATGGGAAACGGGCCAATGGGTGCGAGGCGAAAGGCTTTGCAAGGTTCAGCGGTATTGCATGCGCGCAAAAAGACACCCTGAAACAGGTGATGTAGAATATGTATACATATCACGCACCAGGATGACTCGTGAGACGAGCCCGGTGTTGTACTAGGCTCACAGACCTAAATACAAGGAAATGCCCCAAGAAGGAAGAACCTTCGACATGCAAGTGAAACGCGACCTAGATGAGCGGAACGTCCCAAGACGCCAGTGTGCGGCCAGCTCCAAGCTCAAAAATCTGTGCCAGATGAATCAAAGCACCATTGTCAACATAAACGTGCGCTCCGGTTAGGAAGCCTTGTGGCATGGTGCGGCCAGCAGCTTTGGCTAAGGCCGGGGCCAATATCCCCGGGAATGCTTGCACATTGTCGGAACGACCAAGCAAGACAACTGCTCTGCGGATCTTTTTGTGATAATCCAAGTATGTAGCATTGCAACTGTGCTCTTGCAACTTATAACCCAGCGTTCACACACAGAGGTGATAGCATCTGGTTGCACTTTCCAGCGCAAATTCCGGAAAAACTCACAAATAACTCGCCAATCCTCTGCTGTGCCTGACCAACTGGATGGTGCCGGATGACAAAGCGGAATCTTAGGTTGCCACTTGAAAGAAGACACTGAAGCATCCCAGTCCCACTGTGGGAATTGTGCCTGGTATTGCCGCTGATCAATGTCCGGTTCAGGTTCTGGCAGGCCAATAGATGACGACGGTGTATTTGTGGGCAGCAGCTCATGCAATTTGACAAGCCACTTCTGGTGTTCTAGTGCAGCCTTGTCAGCCCGGTGTTGGAGCTCCGGCTTCACGGCCGACAAGGATGTGGCGAACTCCTTGGCTGTGAGATCAGCAATCCTGTTACGCTCAATGTGACGCACTGAAGTGTGTCGACTCGCTGCCATGGTTTCCGTGATCTGAGCAATCGGCACATGTTCGAAACAATGAGCAGGGATCCAGGAAATGCTGACTGGCTGCGGGTGGGTTTGTTTTCTGCCCTCAATCAGCATGGTAAGAAAGTTCCACCAAGCTTGGCACATCCACACCCTTCTTGCACACTCGGAGATCTGCGTCAACGACAGCAAACGTTGCAATTGTAATCCAAAAACGATTTGCCCACATGACTGAAGCATCGGTCCAAAAATCAACACAATGGTGTGGCTGAAATGCAGGATCAATACTCGGCGGTACAGAACATAGGAGTCTCCTCCTTGCCAAAAAACCTGGTTGTTCCAAGATACCCATGAGGGCAAAATTCTTGCCGAGCTCATGGAGGATTGGTTGACCAATCATGGCATGAAGTGATGAGCATTCATACACCAAGTGAGCAATACTCTCCTTAGTTGCGTGACAGAAACGGCACTGAGAGGAGTCGACCCATCCTGCAGCGGAAAGTCTGTCATTTGTGAGCACGCACCCAACAACAATGGATTGAAAGCGTGTAGCCGGTGAGATGGTGGAACTGGAAGGGGAAACCCTTTCTTTGAGCAGACAAGTGGTAGCTTGGTAATCTAACAGTCCTTGGGGCTGAAAGAAGTCCTTACAGGTACGATGGTCAACATTTTGGTACGCTGCCTGTCTGGCGAGCTGGACCATCAGCGGCTTAAGCTCGCGTGGCTGGAGTTTCGTGAGATCAAAAGCTTGTGACCCCCGATAGGAAAAGCCAAAATCTTGCCCAATTTCAATGTTTAGCGCCGAACATGCAAACTGGAGCCGGGACCACAAGGAATGCGGATGCGACGAACTACCGTGCATTGTACCTTTAAGAACCGGAATCAAGGCCGGTGACATTTGGCAGCATCTAGTAAACTCACAAATGGTAGACACCGCACAGGCGAGGACTGGGTCAGTACGATGAGGTTGACCATGTATGGCTTGGACGAGCCATTTGGCTCGCCATTTAGGCTTACCATTCCATAATGCTTTAATCACCGCTCCTTGGAGTTGAGCCAATTCCCGTTTAGGAATCTGGGTAACGTGGGCTCCAAAGGTGATACGAGGGATGACCTTGGCACCAGGTTTTTGACTCGAGTCGGAATACGAAGGGCACCAATGCGTGCAATGTCAGCCAAGATCAAACGGTGCACACCCAGATCGTAATGGAAGGCCTTACGTGAACAAGAGTACATTTTGACACCTAGCACCTCAAACTCGAGTTCAACAGGGAATTCCGGGAACAAGGAACGAAGGCTTTTCCGACCCTGCGAATGAGAAGACCACATAGCCGACTTGCCTGGATTGAACTTTTGCCCTACCAACATGTCCCAAGGTTTCGTGATTTGGATGGCAGTGTCAAGTTGGTGGATGTTAATCAACTTACACCATAAGTAAGAATCGTCAACAAAGGCTCTTGCCGACACCGCTGGCAGGTGTTCCAACAGGTGATACCAGACTTTGTTGTACATATTCATGGCGAGGAGCGACAAGCTGCACCCCTGTGCCACTCCGTTGGCAGCCGTAGTCGCGATCGGGCGCATCCAGTTTCGAGACGCGAGATGGCGGTGAAGGCCACGGTAAAGCTTTAAAAAAAAGTTGACGAGCGTCCTCGGTAAGCCGAAAGCCAGCATCAGCATGGCTGCATACACGGGAACAATTCTGTCGAAAGCTTTCGATTTATCAAGCTTAACACCTACGACCGGGGAAGAATCACACTGGGCAACATCAAGTTCCAAGCGAACTTCATTATAGAGAGAAGCCATGTACCGGTCCTGCACACCACCCAGGATAGCCGGAGGAAGGGTGGCAATCAACCAAGGTTGCAGTTGTCGATATCTACTCCCCGTGTACGCCAGGAGGAGAGCCGGCAGTACTGTAATGATTCTCTTATTTAAGTTTAAGGCATCCGCTGGTCCCTTTTTATTAAGGATGCACTGCTTGGCACACACAACGGCTTTAGGTAGAGGTTGGTTCGACTCTTCAATGTGCGTGAAGAACTCAGCGATCGGTTGAAAACAAGGCGCCGGGAATTGTTCTCCATCCGTCCAAGCCCGGGGCGGCATGGCTTTTCCGGCGATGGATCGTTTCGAAAAGCTGCTGCCCTTTGATGGGAGGGAGTTCACACTGATGCACCTTGCTATGAATGCACGGCCAAATGGTCTCCAGGACCTTGAGTGGATCTTCACAAAGAACATTGGCCGAATATACATCATCCCAAGCCGAATTGATTTGATCCAAAGCTGGCCCTGGTTGATAGATGATCTGGCCATTTTCATCAAGGATGAGATTTGGGGGTTCATCCTGGGCACAATTGCGCAAATGTCTGTAAATGAAATGACAATTACCTTTGGATGATTCCTTGATCTTGGTTTTCCAGTTCTGCAATCTCTTTAACCGGATCTGTGAATCAAGTAGCGAGGCGGCCGCTTCGGCCCATCGTCGAGCAAGAAACACATCGGCAAGAGTCGGAGCTGTAGGCGGAAACCAAGACACTGGAGCCTGGTGCTCTTGGAGGCCCTTAAAGGCACGAAAAGCAGTCCGTTTGGTATCGAAACGGTCTTGTGGACCCCCTGGTTCTCGGGAAAGGCGACAGAACAACTCTTGCAAACGACCTACAAGTTTGTACAGGGAAGTTGATTTCTTCGTGGCAGCACAAAATTTTTTGTGTTGCTTTGGCACGACTCTTTTGGCAACAAAGACCGGTTCGGTGCCTCTCGTTTGAGGGCCTTGCCCCCACTGGGCACCCGTGGACTTCAAGGAATGAACAAGGAGTTCTAAAACTGTGTCGAGCTTTGGGCAGGTTTGGGTGCACAGTCTTCATTACATTTGGTACACTGTCCATTTTGGCTCAAGCCAAAAGTGGGACAGTGGAGTTTCTGTTCTGCTAAGTTTTGCTGTGTGTGCTGTGGATGGCTTCACAGCATATCGTCGGTGTGCATGTCGCCATGTTCACGGCTGCTGAGGTGCTTTCGTCCGCTGCGTTCATCGAGTTCCGTCGCCAGGTCGATGCTCTTTTGGCCCGGGGGACCGGGCAGGCGCGATGCGGCTCTGGAGCTCGGTGGTTCTATTCGAACACATGCCTCCGTCTTCACGCCCGGGGGGACGGGCCAGCCGGTTTTCCCTCTATGCGGATCTCAGTCTGTCCTAAGAGTACATGCCCACGGTGCGATCAGGGGCGAGGGGGCTATCTTTTCCCGTGGGTCGGGATTAGGAACCGGCGCGGGACGATCGTGCCACCAGGGTTCACTCCTCAGCAGGCCTGGGATAGGCATGCCCGGTTGGACGCCGAAATGGACCTCCTTTTGTTGCAGCCCTACCGTACCCCATATTCTGCCGAGAATTTTGTGCCCTCCTACCTGTGGGAGTTCCAGCAGAAGGTTCCCGGCGATTTCGACCTCTTGCCCCTGCAAACCTTTCAATCTGAAGTCCTCTACTACATGCGGCACTGGATCATGGGATCACCACATGGGTTGTGGTCCAACCCCTTTCGTGCCCCGCTGCCAGATATCGAGCACTTGCCGCGCCATCTGGAAGCTTCACCCGAAGATTCGTGCCCATCGAGCCCTTCGTGGATGGTTGGGGTCCTCAATCAACGGAGAGTCTGAGTTTCCTCCAGCGTGTTGCGGCTGTGGTGATCCCACTTATCGGCAGTGCCTTGGTTGTATCAAAGGAGTGTGTTCCGCCTGCTTCCCAGTGCTCCAAATCTGTCCGGTTTGCCGCGAACTTTCGTCGTCTGATGACGATAGTGGGTAGTTCAGCGGGTGCGCAAGCCATGGTGTACCGTGCGCAAGTCGCTGGAGCTGTGGACGCTCCGCCGGATGAGCCGGCCTCGTCCTCTGGTTGGCGGGCCGAAGATAGCCTCGCTCGTGTGGCAGGGGCCCGTGCCATCACCTGGCGACGTGAGCGTGGCTATGAGAAGGACGAGGACTTTGCATTTGCCTTCTCTACCTGGGAGGAAGCTGTGGCCGTGGGAGGCCATTTCCTGGCAGATGCTTGGCTGGCAG